GAAACAGGTTGCAATTAGATCAGGTTTTTGTTTAGTAGTAGCAACTCATAAATCTCAACGGGATGGTAGAATGGATCGCATTTTGAGATGCGACCGTTATCGCAAAAGGGAGGAACGAGATTTCAGTCAAGCGATTCGGTTTGATACAAAGCGGAAAGGTTGTGGGTGTCAGTTCAGAGTAAAGGTTCGACAACAGCAAAGGGGTGACGGTTGGGAAGTGAAGAGTTACGGTAAATGGGGGTATCACAACCATGAGATGATCGCATATGAAGTGGGTCATCGACAGTTAAGTGGCCTAAGTCCTGCTGCGAAACTAATTGTAAAAGAAATGAGTGATGCTCAAGTGAAGCCTGCTAAAATATTAGCATCTGTGTTGGAGAAATCGCCTCAAACCGAGCTGTTTATCGCCACGTGTACGGACAGGACTTGGATAGGTCTCTGCAGCGTATCCGGTGGGGAGGAGGACGTTGCGGTCAAAATCATTGGTTCGACGCGCCCCTTGATCTCTTCGCCGTTGCAAACATCTACAAGTGTGCAGTGATGCATTTCGGCCTTGGTTTGCATGGTCGAGCTTACTATCCGTGTACCACGGTTCTGCCTTGTTGTTCGCGTGAGACCGTCACCAGACCGGTAAGAGAGGTTGCTATTGGATTTCTGGGGCCGTCATACAGACATTTCATCCGACTGGACCTGTCACCCGATTTTCCGGTCCCACCGATTATACCAACGTGGTACACCATTCGTACAGCAAGCGTAGAGGGCTGGGATGCGTTATATCATGACCGGGTGCAGCAGTGGAACAATCTAGTTGCCTTTTCTATGTGACCTAATATTGCTATTGCTATGTTTTTCCCATTTATTTAATTTTCGGATTCTAATTTTCGTATTTAGTTTTCCCATTTAAATGTGAACCTGTATTTAGTTTTCGTATGCCCACTAATTACAACTTAAAATAAAAGTTATAAAAACTAAAAATATAATGTCAAATTCTAAGAACTTAAAATAATAATTATAAGAACAGATAATGTTAACTTTTACAAACAACTAGGAAAATGTTTTATAAATGCACTGCCGACATATCAATAATCTCTCTGTGACGCCCACTGCCACTGCTCAAGGGCCCGTTCCAGTTCATCAATAACAGCTCTGCCTGTTGCAGTCGTCATGTTGTCCCTCTCCTCAAAAAGTCTGTGTCCCAACTGCGTCATCTTTCCCATCCACTACACATAACAAAACACATAAAATTCAATAACGACGTATTATGAGACGTATTATATGGAAAAAAACACAACTACAAATGTCTTATGAGACGTACCGCATCCACGGCAGTGGGCGGTGGCACATCATCATCATCGGCGTCGTCGCCGTGGTGGACGTCTCTGATCAACCTCGGGTGCGAGTGCCGGTTGTACCACTCCATGTAGTGCTGGTCACACATGGCAGCCACCCCAGTTGGCGGCCGCTGCAGCTGCTCAATCCATATGCGGGCAACCATCGGAAACTGCTCCCACGTGCCAATCATGCTTGCCGGCCATTGGACGACGTACTCCTTCGACGACGCAGATCGGATGGCCTTACTGGGCCATGCTGGTGGAGGAGGAACAACTTGGACATATCCAAGCTGGCGAAGACAGCGCTGCGGCATGTACGCCTCTACGATCTCACGATACTGAATCAGTCCCGTGTAGAGGGTCCTGGGTACCCTATTACTAGGGTTCTGGCCGAAAGGCATCCAGTTCACCTGCACATTTTTTAAAATTAGTAAGATTCATACAATAAACACATCAAACTATAAAAGTAGAAATAATTTAAACACTTTACCTCTAATGGGGACATCCTGTCAAGCAATAACCGTATCGATCGCAGGCGGTCAATGGACTTCTTCTCGACACGCGGACTCCACGCACAGGCACGTGGCTGGCCATCCCCAATAGGAACCGGGTCGCGGTGTGGTCGAAACGCCGGGAAATACTCGTATATCCACGTCTGTAACAACGTCATACATCCAGTGATACCTGCCGCATCAGCCCGGCTCGAGAATCCTAACTGGCGATACATGTACGCTAATGTAGCCGACCCCCAAGAAAACTGGCCTACTCTGTCGGGCTCACACGCGTCAACTATGTCGCGTGGCCTGAGCTTGTTTCCGCTCTTATCCGGAAACAAGGTACACCCGAGAAGAAGAAAAACATATGCAGCCAGCTGTGTGTCCTGCGTCCTACGTGAAGTGGGGTGCAAACATCGCTGCAAAACTGCTGCGATCTTAACACCGCCGTGATCCCACACACCAAGTGCCGCTGTGTACAGCGCAGCCCTATCCACCGCCAACAGCTCCGCCAATAAATCTGCCTGATCCGCATCTGTGACAACAGATGCTCGGTTTCCCTCTACGGGAATCCCAAGGATGGCCTCGACGTCATGCAACATGATCGTCATCTCACCGAACGGAAGGTGGAAAGAGTTCGTGTCCGGCTGCCATCGCTCAACGAAAGCCGTGATCAGCGTCGAGTCAATCCTCTCATGCATGGTGGCAGGAAGGTGGCTCACTCTAGTGGCCCTCAATCGGCCGACCATCTCGCTCTTCTCCGGCCAAGCCTCAGCCCAACTACACAAGAAGTTACAAGTCCTCTCCCGGGTTTGGCATTTCAAAATGCCGCTATCCAAAGCCCGCTCTTGGTCCTCCCAAATACGGGTAGCGATGTGTCCTAGAAAGCTAGGAATCACACTCCCGTCTATAGGTCCCCCAGCCACCTCGCCCCTCACCACCCAAGAATCATTAACGGCCCTCGACCGTTTTCTGCTAACCGCAGACACAGTGGACGCAGATGATGTGCCAGATCTACTAACAAATCTACCATCTCTACCCTTACGCACGTCTACCCTACGCGTCTCATACACATCATCAAGCCTCTGACTGAATGGACCGTAATCATCATATGGTCCACTCTGATCGTCCACATCCTCATCTGCATCCTCCTCCTCCTCCTCCTCATCACCATCATCATCTTCATCATCCTCAGAATAGTGCACCCGTTCTCTACGAGCCGAGGCCGAAATACCACGGGATCTAACGTGTCTGGGCCCCGAGCTCTCCATTGAGTTCATCGTACTTCTCATAATGTCCATACTCTTCCCAGCCCCAGAACGAAAATACGATGCCTAACACAAAATAACAAAACATGTAATATGCAATATAAACATGTAATATAAACATAAAAAAAGTAATTAAAATAAATAAATAAAACAATATACATATGATGGAAAATAAATTAAAAACATTACAAAATATTAACAACCTAAAAATAAAAAAATTAATAACCTAATAAATAAATAAATAAAAAATTGGAAAAAACAAAGCAAAAAAAAAAATTACCCAAAAAAAACAAATTGGAAAAAACAAAGTGAAAAATATAAAATTATAAAAACTTAAAAAAAGAAGAACATCAAAATTTTAAAAAAAATTTATAAAAAAAAAAAGGGAACATAAAATTTTTTTTAAGTAAAAAAACTAATTCAAAAAAAAAAAAACAAGAACAATAAACAAGAACATAAAATTAAAAAAAAAAAAAAAAAAGGAACATAAATTTTTTTTAAAAAAAACCAACAAAATTTAAAACAAAATAAAAAAAAAAATCAGAAACATAAAATTTAAAATTAAAAAAAAGAAAAACAAATTTAAAAAAAAATCAAAAAAAAAATAATTATTTTCGAAAATTAAATTTCAAATTTAAAACCAAAAAAAAAATTAAAAAAAAAAATAAAAAGGCGGCGGCGCCTAGGCCAGACGCCGTGACGGTGGCGGCGGCGTCTAGCCCAGACGCCACTACCACGGCGGCGGCGCCTAGGCCAGACGCCGGTGACGTGGTTCTGGCGCCTGGGCCAGACGCCACCGCCACCGTCACGGCGTCTGGCCTAGGCGCCGCCGCCGTGGTGGTGGCGTCTGGCCTAGGCGCCGCCGCCACGGTGGTGGCGTCTGGCCTAGGCGCCGCCACCGCCTCCGACCTTTTTTTTTAATTTTTAAACACAAAATTAATAAAAAATACCTTCTCGCCGGAAAACCGCTGTCCACCCGCCGCCTGTGCCGCCACTTCCTTGCCGGGCCGCCTCGACATCGCTCGGAAAGTTTTTTAGAGAGAGAAAGTGGAAGTAGAGAATTGAGAGAAGAAATTGTGTTTTTTACTTTGAGGGCAAAAGTGACAATTCACTCTAATTTTGTGGGCTTTATGTGGAGATTCGCGGGCGATGTTTAGCAATTCAGTATTATTAAGGAGGGTTTTGGAGGGAGGGAGAAGTGAAATTATGATGACTTTTTAGTCAAGAAATTGAGAAAATATAGGATATAATTTTCATGGGATATAGTTAAATATATCCTGTGATTTTCATTTTATTTTTTTAAAACGATTTTTTTTAAAACATTTTTATACTATTAAACTTAATCCTCTCCAAATGATGAAAAAAAATATGATGTGCTTGCATAATACTATGATATTTAAGCAAATCAAAACATGTTTCTAAATTTGTGTTGAAATCGAAATTCTGTGTGCTCAAATATAGTAGTTGAAACTTCGTGCAGAGCTGCTTGGATGTCTGGATTTTACGACCGTGATGTGCCGAGCCTGAAATGGTGGGTAAAAGCTAAAGACAGAGCTGTCGAAAATGGTTTGGAGATAACAAGATCTTATGCATGTATCAGTGTACAGCGTTTGCTGGCTTGCTGCAGTATCCTTTACTGTGGTAGCCGCCAGCTGCGGGGTTTTTCAAGGTGTACACAGATGCGGAATTATGGAAGGGGGTGGGGATGGCCGGATAGGGCCGGGATGAAATTAAAACTCTTGACCTGATAGAAAACATATTTCTCCCACAGTAACAAGGCCCAGAAATTAGAGTTCAACAAATAGAATCGTCTGGCCAGTTTCAACAAGGTCCAGAAGTATGTTGTAGTGTTGTAGTGAACATTCAAAAAAATGATCCCAAATTGTTAGGAAAGACAAAGAGAGGAATTCTATGAACTATATTATATAAATTTGATATCAGAAATAGCAGAGTAGAGAACTATGTACATGGTAAAATCCTGCTCCGGCGTAAGGATATTATGACATCATTGACACTAACAATGGAGTGAACATATATAGAAGGGAAGCAAAGAGTCACGTGGTGAGATTTCCCCGATGCCCTGGCACAGCAAGTCCCTAGACAGCACGTGACAGAAGGCTTCAGACGATTGCTAGAACAATCGTCCTGTATTGCCCTCTACAATCAAAGAGTTTTTCAGCGATTATGATGTTTATGAGACATATTCACAAAAGCTTCCTCTCCCTATTAGGCTACTTCTAACAATAGATATTTGTTGGGTACCTCAAGTATCATATATCCTGACAGATCCACGAATAACCTGCCGGCAAACAGGACATTTCGGTGCTAAATCTCGTTCAACCGAAAACGCGCATCTTTGGCAACAAACCAGATGACCACACGGTACAAATGCAGACCGTCGTCTCCTCATTAAGCAGATTACACACAACTGCCCGTCAGGAACATCTCCGACTTCTTCATCTTCAACTTCAGATTCGGGACTGCCGCTGCCACTTTCAGCAGCAACTCCAGGATGGTTTTGTTGCTGCGCCCTCCTTTGCTCCCGCCATTGCTTCCACTTATTCCAGTTCCTGCAGAAAATCAAAGGGCAAGCAACCGAATTTTAGGCCAAAAATCTAGAGTGATAAATCAATCTCAAATGGAAAAGTTGAATCACTGTCAGGATTTAACAAAATAATAGTTTAAAAGAGTTTCTGATTAAGAATTTAGTCAAATGCCTTTGCCTACTCTCAACAATGTTCCATTCTTTCTATCCTCTATCAAAAAAGATCATCAGAACAGAAAAATTATATGTAAATCTTAACAAGAAAAACATACAATTCAAAATCCGTTGGACACCTTGTTTTTATAGAATACAGAGTAAAAGGAAACCATCTCTCAATCACACAGCAGGACAAGAAAATAAGAACGTGACTTTCCATTCAACAATTCAACAAATTTATATGTTTGAGTCAGGCAGTCAGCTATATAAAATAGAATGCTTTCAACGAATGTTACAATTTATCACCTTTTAATAATAGCATTGGATTAAAAATTATGGCATCAATGGTCACAGGCACATAAATTTCAAAGACAACCTCGTGATATTGTTAGCGTCAAAATCAATTTCAATCTATGCTATTTACAGAAAAGAATCAACCACATAAGTTAAAGGAAAGAGGAACAGTAACAATACCTAACAATCGCATAACCAAGTACGCCAATCGAGACTGAACCAATAACAATACCACTCCACAGTAAGATCTTCGTCCTGAAAGAGAGTTGTACTAATATTTGATCCTTAGTCAGTTCAGACCTGCAGAAAGATAAAGCAAAATATAATCAAACAAATAAACTAAATCCAACAAGTCAGGTAAAACAGTTCAAAACATATAAAATAAAAATAAAAAAATTCAAAAAAGATAACATAGTCCAGACAATATCCAATTGGCAGCAGATAATCTGGTAAACAATTCACACACAAGTATACAACATTCCTGAAACTAACTAAGAATCTTTAAATTGAAAAGTACGTTCATTTTTTCATTTCATGGACCATAGTCTAAAGCAAACTACAAAGAGCAATAGAGCTGTTGTCCTTACAGAAAGCAAGGAAGATCTCTGCATGATTTAATCTCAAGAGCCCCACTTTTCGAGGAACAAACTCCAACTGCTGTGACTTCCTTTCCGAGAGGAAGAATTTTCTCCTCATCATGCACGCCAACCTTCAACCCAATATCATTTTTCATTAGCAAGAGAAAGTGGGCCAGTTTATTAATTTTAAAATAGGAGGGCCGGGGGGTTGGGGGGTTGATAAAAGTTGAAGATCGGGAGAAAGAAAATAATCAAGTGAACAGCAAAGTTAGCAGCTTACAGGGTATTCATGCCCAAAAAGTGCCTGGAGAAAGGTATATGGAGAAGCCTGAATTGGTTCAATATGATGGTAGACTGTAGTTAAAGGCAGTGGATGATTTGAATCATCCAAGTCAACCACAACATAATCAGAGTGTGACTGTTGACGGCCATCAACAAGAACAAAAGGGATCTGAAAAAGAACAATGAAAAACTTCATTTTAACGTAGTCGTTCAGATGAACTCAAAACAGTCATATTCTTCAGTAAATAAAGATGTAACATTCTTAAAAAGATAAGATAGGCAAACAATTCTTCATTTGAATTAGCTGCACAATGTTATGCTTCCATATTCAAGTCGCTGCACAGTTATATCAAGAAAACATTATTACATTTTCATTATCGCACACACTGTTGGGCATGGTCACCTTTTACACTGTCAATTAATCTCTGTTTTACAGCTAATAATATTAGACTACCCATAATGCCCTCCCTTAGGTCGGTTTTACAGCTAATAATATTACTCCGCAACATTTACTGCTTTCCACTCCCTCTTACTTTATCTACCTTTTTCTAACACCCGCCTACCATTTTACTCCATCTTGCTACTTTATCAACATTTTTCTTACATCCATTCACTTTATTAGAAACTTTGTTAATCTATGCATCTACATATAGAGCAAAAGAAATACACTAGAAAAAGCTAACATGGAATCCTTAGATCCTAGATATGGTTCAAATTTGACTTTTTAGACAAATACAGAACAAAAATACATGAAGATGGCTTAAAATATGCTTGCTGTATTCCTGAAAAAGGTCACTAAATATCCTAAAATTTGCATTTCAATAATTCGATTTACTGCAGTTAGCAGTTTTTGTCATGGTAAGGCTTTACCAAGAATTCACCATAGCTAGCTAATAGATGAGTTCATCCTGCTGCATACTTAATACTCAAAACAAACCAATACAAACACTATTGCAAAATAAAAATAAAACACTAATTATGAAGCAAAATTCCTGTTTAGGCCAAGACTGAGATTTCCACTCTAAACATATCGACATGAGAAAGAAAGCAGAAAAAAAGTTACCCTATATAGGAATCACAGGATCAACTGAAAATTACCGTTCTTGTGGATGTCGTGCCCGGTTCTCTCCAAGCTTTGGCCAAGACTGCACGTAAATCAGGATACCATCCAAAAAATCCTCTCCATTCGTTGTATATACACTTCACATCACAGTAATGAACAAATTAGATGCAACACCAAAAGACAAAATATACTATATTAAAGATAAATCTCACCAAACAAGTTTTCTATCTCTTTTCAATCATATAATAAAATGATAAACTCATAGACATAACAAATAATTATATTAACTTTGCACGATGTCAAGAAAATAATTATAGCTGCATCATCAAACATACAAGTCACTGATGCTAAATAGCTAACTGGAAGTATCAAGATGCCACTTGTGCATAGCTCTGTAAAAGTCAATTCCTCTCAAGCTTAAATAAAGGGACCCAAATATGATTCCCCCCCCCCCCCCTTCTCCTTTTCTTATCCAATGGGACATATAAAAAGAATCTTCAAAAAACCAAATTCTTCAATTTACAGTAGCTTTTAATATAACAAGCATATTGAACTCCTACAGTGGAAAGCACATAAAGGATAACATGTGTGCTTCATTTTACTATATATTCACAAAACAAAACAAAGTATTCAGCATCGCAACATTCGCAAAAAACTAAACTAAAACAGAATCAAAGATACTTGAGGAATCAATTTCCTTAGTTTGCCTCATTTCTTTCAATAACCAACAGAAAAAACCACTTAAGCATGCCTACCTCAAAACAAGTAAAGAAGAAATTCACTCCGTATCAATCTTCAATATTTCAGTAGAACAGTATCATTCACTTCTTGTGGCAAAGGTTTTTTTAGCATATAACTTCACATTAGTATGTCAAAAATGTTTGTACAATTGGAACCTAACAGCTCATAAATCCTCCATAAATTTCCATAACTCATACAGGAATGAAGAGATACATCCAAACTGACGTTGAAAACAAGCTATAATTTTACTAATCTCAAACAGAAATAACAAAACCGCTAAAAGTTTTTGAATAAATTGGATGAAAAACATAAACAATCAATCAAAAGGATCAAATAATAAACAAACTAATGGGTTATAGCACAGGTTTGCAGAGATATTAGAACTTATTTTTTGAGGTAAGAATTAAAATTGCATAAGCTGTATAATGTAGCACGCTATGGGCCTTATATATGGGCAATATGGCTGTAAATACCAGGAAATAAATAAGCCCTAGTTGGATATAAGTAACTAGCTACTAGAGCAAGGAAAGATTCTGTCAATTACATACTAGAAAAGAAAATAGAATATAAAAACTTGAGGCTTCTTAAATACCATAAGTATACAAGTAAATAGTTAAGGAAATTGTGGGCTTCAGGCTTGAATCTGGTACTTCATGCAAGGTCAAAGTAATTCTTCACTGGAATCATATAGTTCACACACCTATTGCACCAATCTACTGCCCATACCAATGAATTTGACATCTATTTGCCTATGTGCCTGTGCAAGTGTCTGCCTCACCAATGACGAGACACAACAAACTACTGCCTCACCAATGCTAAGGCACGATAGTAATTGCTACCTGCGCAATGCCATCCTAATGTAGCCCAACTAATCTAAGATTCATTACTTTATGCACACCTTCTCCATAAAACAACCCTACGAAATGGCCACGATCACATTCAAGAATAGCAAAAGCATACTGGGATGACAAAAAGATACTACCTCTTCGTCAATTGCATAATCCAGTTGGCTCTCTAAAGTTCCATAACACAAACTCAAATCATTACAAGCACCAATAACACTAATTGATACTGACCAGTGATCACCTTTAAAGCAGTGCAATGAAAAAGATAGTACATTATACCTAAGGTTAGTAAGTTACTAAGGGAACTACACTTAATTAATGTCAAATTCATTGCCATATTTTCAATTTAAATCTGTACCAGATTGCATATCAAATTGCAGCGACAAGAAACAGTATTATCCCTGCTTACCTCTAGTCTCTATTACTACAAAGCCACCATGAACAGGGTGCCAACACTACTCACAACCCTTGACAATATCCCCCAGCAGTAGGTCCTAGGACTTAGATTGTTAGTGACTGACTGAAGCATCTGCTGATGCCTGAAGATTAACTCTAATGCAATGGAAGCAAGACAAGCATCAGCAGAGAGCTCAGAATTTTATGGGCCTAACCTCCATAAATTATTTATTAGATAAAATCATACAGCTAAACAGAGATTTGAATGGAGTAGCATACAAACTAAGATATTGAAGTTGTTATGGTAACTAGTTTCCATGTACTCCCCTAAACTTTCTCTTGTCTTGCCTCGTAACCACCCCATCACAGCAACACCTATAAGGCCTTGGCATCAATTTTCTGAATGCATTATGATCTCCTTAATGAAGCTGACCCCACTTATGAGATTAAGGCTTTGATTGATTGATTATGATCTCCTTAATCCTCTTCTCTGTGCACTCATAATTCCCAAACTCATCCTTCCTCTTCTCTGTACACTCAAGATTCCCAAACTCATCCTACAATCTAACTTCCTAATCCAACTTTTCATTTTATAATACTTCAAAATGACTATCCAGCTATCCTACATACAACATACTTGTCACACTTAGCACACAGGTCGACTAAAATAATACCATTATCAGTCATTTCTAAGAATACTAACAATCCAAACAAGGTCAGTACTCCAATCCATTCCCTAAAATAGTCGATTGCAATTTAAATTTAAACCAAACAGTATCATCAAATCCATAATTAAAACTAACAAGTAATCAAACATCCCATTTCAAGTGATAAAACAATATATATAAACCCTAATTCATAATAACAGTTCATCCTACAGAAAAAACACCCAAAATAAACCAATCATACTTAAAGTTCTCAGTATACCAATCATCAAAGCATATAAAATCAACAATTTCACAAAATTCAATTTCCAACGCAAATCACACTAACTTCCCACAAATTCTTCGACTAAAACCAACAACAATTTTAAAATTCACAAAATTTTCAGAAAATGATAAATTATACCTTCTGAGATCGCTGAAGAACAACACCACGATCACCAGATTCATGAGAAACAAGAACATCAGGCCAAAAACTCTTCCAACTCCCATTAACCGCCGACTTCGACGCCACTAAACCTCGTACAACCACCAAAACCTCGGAATTTCTCTCTCCTTCATCGGAATCATCCTTAATCAAGTACCGTAGATCCGACACTTGAACGGAAGGTGCTTCCCGTATTTTCCGGAACGCCGATGACGTGGCGGCGAACTTCGTGAGACTTCGAACTGCCACGTAACCTAGGGCTAAACCTAGACACGCGCCGTCGCCGGCAAGAAGTAGTTGCGCCGCAATCGCCGCCGCTGCTTGGTCTCCCGCCGACATTGTTGGTTAATTTGTGATGAGAGAGAAAGTGAAATGGCGGTCTGTTGTCGGACATAAATATGTATCGGTCGGCGGTTTGGGTAGTTTCGTAATTTCAGTAAGTGGATAATTTGATTTTATTGGTGGTGTTGATTATGGGCTAAGTTTGGATCAAATTAAGAGAAATGAAAATATGACTATTTATTGTAGTACAATTTATTAACTTGGTCCAAGTAAATATGATTTGCTTAATTATTTATGGCTAGACTCTAGTCTAGGCATCATCCCCTACACCCCTCTCTAAACACATCGTTTAACACCCCTTCCCCCATCTACCTACTTTCATAGTTTCTGCAGTACTATACCCTCACAAAATGCAGCATACTATTACTCCCTAAAATCCTAAAAAAATTTCAGTAACTTCCTCTACCCCACAAATATATATACCCAAAAAAAAAAAAAAAAAAAAAAAAAAAAAAAAAAAAAAAAAAAAACATCTTGTTCTCTCTTTATTTTCCCTCTCCATTATCTCTCTCATCTAAAACTTCAACCATGGCGGACATTAGAGACGAAGTCAAACAACCGAAGCAAATTTCACCGAAAAAAAGTAGCGAAAATCAAAAGAGTAAGTATAAATGTTCATATAAATTTATTTTTAAAAAAAAAAAAAAAAAAAAAAAAAAAAAAAAAAAAAAAAAAACTAATTTTTTGAGAATTTATTTGTGATTGTGTTTCAGGAAACAAATTGATAGTTTAATAACTGAAAATGTATATATGTAAGTATTTATGTTAATAATTCATCAATTTCAAAGTGATTATTTCGAATAATTAGTAAAATTAACATCTACTTGCTTCAATTTCATTTTTCAGTTTGGAGAAATCTATTTCAGAGAACAGAAACAACGATTCTTCAAAAATGTAAGTATATTACTCAAACTTCTTAAATTTACAAGAATTTATTAAAAAAAATTTATTAAATGGTTTATAATGTAAAAAATTGAGATGATGGTGAAACACCTCTACAAAAAAACCGGCGAACAAAAATCTCCTATTGTAGATCCAACACTTTCAAAGATATACAAGCGTTAAGGCTGCAGATGTAAAAATAGTGTCTCGGATGCTTAGGTAAAATGAACAATTATAAAGCACTATATGTTCAATTTCATATCATATTATGAAAATATTCACATGTTTACCTATAATTACATGTTAATATGTATTTATTAACATATTCAGATTTGATTTTTTTTTTTTTTATTTTAAATATGTGTTATTGATTTGTATAAAACATTATGAACGCATGCATACAAAACTTGGTAATACATTCAAATGTTTTTTTAATAGTTTATATATGTGCATTTACATTTATTAATATGTTCATTATTTTTAAATATTATGAGCATTTTTACATACATATATGAACATTTTTAAATGCATAATAAACAAAGCTAGATTATAGTTTTATACCATTTTAAGTGAAACATTTGATGGAATTTAGAGATGGATATGCTATTCATATTTTATAATTCATATATGAGCATCTACCTGTAAAAAAATATGCCATTTATATTAAAAAATAATGTTCATTTGTAGATACATATATGAAATACATACTGAACATTTTTTTTTTCTTCATATAAATTGATATAATCTATATTGTAGTGATGTGTCATTTAAAGTGGCAATGAGGATTACACAAATTGTGAAGTTTACATTATGAAACACATGGAAACATTCACTGGTGATCAAAATAAAAAATGGATTTGTGACTTAAACCCAAACAATGTTAGTCCATCAAATGATCATTTACTTAAAATATATCGTTCATTTATATATTATTAAATAACAATTAATATTATATTATATATTCATTTTTATCAACAGGTAGACCAAATCAGAAAGCTGAGGATGCAATACACAACTCAACTAATGCTTTTGAAGAAAACACTGAATGTAGGATCAACAAAAGATTATCAAGAAAAATTACAAAAGAGTAGTATTACATGTTCATTTATAAATTTATATATGTTCATTTATACAAAGATATATGTTCTTATATGTGTTCAATAGAACTTATAGATTTTACTCGCTTAAGAGTCTTTATTTGGTATTTCTATTTTTTTTAATAGAATTTGATATTTCTTTTTTTAATATTGTATGTTAAATAGCTAGTATTTCTTTTTTTAACATATTTAACAACTCGGTGTTTTGTATCTATGAAATGTTCATTTGCAAATAATTTACATCACTAACAATATTAAGGTTGAAAGAAAACATTTCTTAATAGAAACACAACCTTAGATCCATTACATGATAAAAATATAAAATGCAGTCTCATGAAAGTAGTAATTTAAAAGCTATGGTTTCCTAATGTACTCCCTCATTTACCATTACTAGTGAACCTCTTAGCTACATTTGTATCAAAAAAGACTAAGAACTTATCATACTTAATAGAAGTATGTCCTAAACCACCTCGAACACTTCTTAGAACTAACACTAGTAGTAGCTTGAACAGTTCTTGAAACACTTGTAGTAGCTTGAACATTTGTTGAAGCACTAGCTAGAAGCAGCGTGAACATTCCTTGAAACAATAAGAGTATCTTGAGCATTTCTACTATCGGCTGCAATAATTATAATAAACAAATATAATATCAATAATGTTCAATTATATTATTATTATATTAAAAAACATATATATCTACATAAATGATCATTTATCATTACATAACTGAACATCTTTATAACTCTACACATTAACATATAATAAAATTTGTTCACTATTTAAAAGGCATATGAACAAATACAAACCAATGATTATCATTAAAATAGACATATACACATATATATTGAAAATACAACAAAATTAACATAAAATTTATGTAACTTAGAAGTGTGTGATTTGTTCTTTTACTAGTAATTTCCATGGAAATTCAATCAACAAAAATTTCATTGATTGAATTTCCCATCAATTTTTGTCCCTCTTAAATTTTTTAGTCTCTAATTCTACTTTGTCTTTCTAATTGACAGTTATCATAAGCATAGCTGCTTTCTTTTTCTTTCCCCTAATCAAAAAAATTTCTTAAAGTAGTTTTATTTTTATTTTATTTTTATTTTAACTTTATTAATGTTCATTTTCATATTGATAAATGTTCATTTCCATATTGATACAAGATCACTTTATTTTATATATATTTATTGCGATATTGATACATACATGGTTTATGTTCGTTTTCGTATTAATAAATGTTCGTTTTCGTATTAATAAATGTTCATTTTTTATTTTGATAAGTTTATTATTTCAATTTTGATAGACATTCATTCACGTTTTGTAAATAATGTGTATTGATTGTTACAAATACGTACTCTTTTTTATGTATAGTATGGAGTAGTAGGTAATTAAGTATATGTAGTACTTACTACTTAGCCTGCCTGTATCATTTGTATGTCACACCTAAGATAAAAGTATATTTTATGCAAGCAGTAAGATACTAAAAAATTTGAGTAGAGCTTTATATGTTTAACCACATATATTTTTTAATGCTCATTAATTTTATGCCATGTTCATTATCATTCCAATATAAGTTCATTTATATGTGAGTAGATGCTCATTATATAATATTTTGATCACGTTAGTTTCTATACTCTTTTAGGTTCATTTTTATGTATATATTGTTTTTTTTTAATAGTTTTTCATGTGTTATTTTTCCTATCATATATATATAGCGTCTAATGTTCATATTTATTATATTTAAACTACTTATAAATAAATTTGATGTTCTTATCAAAGCCTTTTGCTTATTCTCATGTAGATACATAGCCAGGATATTAATAGATGTAGATTTCGATTTTTTTAGTAGATGTTTATACATATAGTATTGCAATTGTTCAATCCCATAATTTAAATGCACGGTCAAGATGTTTGTTAATTTTTGTTTTAATTTCAGGATATTTTAATAAATGTTCATTCTTGTATTGAAATATGCTCATCTAGAAATGGATGCATGTTCATTGTCATATTTATACATGTACATCAAGTTATGGATATATTGACAATATAGTGAAATCAATAGCTACAGGAGAACAAACTCATATAGCACAACCTATAGTGTTTACTTGATGAACTACAATACATTCTTTTTGTTGAATGTTCATTTTCATTTTGATAAATGTTCATTTATATATTAGTATATGATCATTATTCGCATATTAATAGACGATCATTAGATTTCTGATAAATGTCCACACTTTTTCCATCTTCGATCTTTATATATTTTCTACATATTTAATAAGGAATTTCAAAAACAATTTGATTTTCTATAGCTTTTCATGAAAATGATAAAAAAAAAATGTTCATTTATATATTATTTGATGTTCATTTTCATATGTATAAATATTATATACTTTATATACTCCACAAATTTTTAATATATGTTTATTTTTCACATAAGCCTCAATAATTATCCTCAAACTCCTTTAATAATACAAAAAAGATAACTTTTATAAATTTTTAATCATCTATGAAAATAATTAAATGTTCTATCAAACCATAATTAAATGTTCAATTACAAAATATTATATGTTCATTTATGTTTGTCTTTCATTCATGAACAAATTCATTATACAGTACGGTACGGTGTTTCTGGTATCTTTTCTTCAGCTTTAGTCTTCATAATTTTCTCTCTCTTTCTTAATACTCTACAATCCTCTAAGCTTCATTCTTCATCTTTTTCTTCTCCCTCTCTATTACTTTCATATTTGGCATCAACTACAAAGTAAATTAAAAATTGGAACAATAAGTAATCCACAACTTTAGTTGCGTCGTCATCGCCTCCACCACAACAGTAAACTAGCATATATAATTCCAGATCTTCATCCCACAAAAAAAATCAGGAAATATTGGATCAAATTATTTTTATAATTTTTGTGTTAGTTTCTTGATATGGCTTGCCTGTTTGATTAAGCTCGTTATTTGCTTGTTGAACTAATTGATCGTAAGTTACGGCAATCAATTTTTGATCAAATCAATACACAATAATCTCTGCAATTCATAAATATATCTAAAGCATGCAAATGTAGCAATTCTACCGAAAGTTATTTTGTGATCGACGGAGAAGTAGAAATGGCAGAGAGATCAACAAAGATGTAAGATGGAGATCAAGTTAGATTGTCCTGTAGTTTGAAGGTGAAAGAAATTAAAAACAATAGTGATGCGGCGTCGTTTGCAAGGGGGTGCAGGGATTTCATCCTAGACTAGAGTCTAGGTAAAAATTTGTACTTTTGGTCCAAATTTCAAATGCTAAGGCTTAGTTTTTAAAGCCCAATAGCCAATAAAACAAAAATTCTCTTTGAGTTGATCAAACAAATCTCTATATTTCGTAATAATAAAATGATGGTTTTGCTAACTTTCAACCACGAATCTCCAAAACAATAGTCTCCAATTTCTATGTGGCACCTCTTTTGTAATGTAGTACTTGTACAAAATAAAAATAAAAATAAAATCACATAACTTTTGTTTTCCTTTACAGAAATGTGATGTATCATATGCGTTAATATGGATGAATAACAAGTGTATATTTAATCGAGTCGCAATTAGGGAACTTTTTTATGAGAAAGATGTTTGTATAGAAAAAATTACAAAGATTATTGAACAACTTGATATCATATTGAGTAATTTAGTCAACTGTTCATCTCATTGAAGAAATGGCTAATTAAAAGTTGATCATTGCAAAAGCATAAATTGTTGAGTACATAAATACATTTTGAGTAGAAATTGCCTAACCAATTTACTAATAAGCAGCTCATTTTTGCTATTTATGTAATTGACCAAATACAAATGTTTTGATCAACTCATTCAATTCATTTGGTGAGTCCATGTTTACTCCATGCCCGGTTTCCTTAATTATCATTAACCTTGCTTTAGGCCCCAATTTCCTGCAAATTTTACATTCATAGATTACCATTAGCCTATATAATCAAAATCATAAAACTAGTTAGTCTTCTATAAAATTCTTGAATTCACTACATAAACTAAATGGGGGTTTACTGGTTTAGTGATTGACCTTTGTAGCTGATGAGCTACGTCTATAGGAAAAAAGTAGTCTTGGTCACCCCATACAAGAAGTGTTTCCTACATTATAACATTACCAAACACATGGTTACTCAAAGGGTACTCGACAAACATATGTTGCACCACACTCCATTATTTCAAAAAATGTACGTTGATGTGATGAATTCTGACACGAAAACTTAAGATAAAAAGAAGAGTCCGAACAAATAGAACATCATTTTTTATTCCAATTAATTTACCTGTGGCAAAGCATAAACCATGGAGTCTACTTCTCCAGATATCAAACTTCTAAGAAGCTCTTCTTTTTCCTCCCTGTTCTTATGCTCGGTTACCTGAAATGCTACAAATTTAATAACTACATGTGTAACCAAAATCAAAGAAAATCACAATATTCACATATATGATTTATAATACTATATCATTTCCAACATGACTAAGTGGTTGCACCATTTCTCTTTAAATAGTCAAACTTGAAAATTTTTGACCCATAAATTCTTGCTATTATATGAAAGAAAATATTGTCGACTAATTCTTATTAGAAGTGTCACAATATGTATGTACTAAGTAATAACTTTCTACAATTATAATATTTAAAAATGCACAAGTAAATAGAAATATTTGTATTCTAATTAATGCATTGAAGACTGTAAAAAGCAAATAATATGTATGTGCAATCATTTAGTAAAGGATGAAGTAGATGATTAGTAAATATAACTGACCTTGATGAACTCCCAAAGTATAAAATCAGGAACTAAACGTGTAGGATCATATTTGTATATAGATTTTTCAACCAACAATCTAATTGCATCAGGGTCCTTTGGTACAACCGTTTTAATCACTTCCTCTGGTTGCTTCCCAACCCTACTTAGCTGCGCAACCTTCTCATCATCCGTCGTTCCTACGCCGGAGCTAACGATCACGTTCTTCTCTATTATGTTAGGGTACATCTCAGCCATGAAGTAGCCCACCCAACCTCCATAACTAATTGAGTAAACTGTGCACTTCTCTACACCAAACCCTTTCTTTAGCCCTTCCATTACACACTTGGCTTGGAAACGAGGCGTTCGGTCCGTGTTTTTGGTGTATGAATTTCCATAGAATAGCAAATCTGGTATGTATATGTTGAATAATTTGGATAGTGCTCCTATCTGTTCAATCATAATTAGGAAAGAAATTACTACATTATTAATCAAGTTCGAGACAAACAATCTCAATTTTCGTGTTTAACTTTAAAAATAAGGTAACACAAGTTTAAATTCTAGGTAGTCAAATAGCATGCAAATGATTGTTAGAAAAAATATAATTGAATTAAACTTAAACATTCACAAAATTTACCCCTTTAAGTGAATATGAGGGTTTTTTTGGTTCAATCACAAAATTGAAATCAAGAATAATTAGCAAGAAATAAGGCATATAATTTAACATACAAACCTGTAGGCAAAACTGCCACCGCGCTTCACCGCCACAACCATGGACGAGGACTAAGTTAGGGCGATCATGACGTCTATAATTCGAGATCCAAAAATGCATAGTAGTTTGATCATCTAAATCAACCATACATGGAGATAGACCACAATAATAGTAGTACTTAGACAGTGAAAAAAGGCCTATGGGATAAAATATAGGCGGTTTATTAAACTTTAGTACATTGAAGATAACATTTTTTATAACCATGAACAAGTAGATGACATATTGGCCAAAAACTTTTGCATAACCCATTCTTTTTACTCTCCAACCTTTTAGTATCTCTTCTTGATTCAATGATTCTATATAGTCCAATTTGTTTGTTACATATATTATATAATGAAAAAACCTTATATTATAAAAATATAATACTAATATATGATGAAGGAATATGATCAGTTGATCACATGAAATAAGCCTAAAGTAAGAGTTTGTAACTTCTTTAGCGAGGTTTAAGCGTATGTTGGGAATTATTTAGATTAAAATGAGGTGTATTGTGTAAGCAAGTATCTTCTTTTATAAACTAAAGTCATAAACATGACGGTTGAATGTGTAGTTTTGTAACTTTTATGTAGTACATGCATGTGACTTTGTGAGTGTTGTATTCTGTTTAGTTTGTTAATTGCTTTTGGCAAATTACGCGGAGTATTAAACTACTATTACATTGGAAGTTTTCGAACCGTATTATCATTATATTAGTTTTCAATATGTGAAAGCTGGGGAAAAGAAACATTGATATGGATAAACAGATAGATCTATGTATATTTTAGATTCGAAGTTGTTCTGCAAAATTTTAAGGTTGATGGTAATCTAATATAAGATGACAACATAACAATTTATTATTTTATTGAGATTACAGTGTACGTTGTCCATACCTATCCATCACCATAGTGATAATTACGCTCCACAAGTTTCAATTTGTGTACTCACAGAGGTGTCATGTTTACCGTGACATTATTTTGATAGAATATACGTCAAAAGCTAGAGTTGATACTACAGTTAAAGCCCAAATTTGATTTATGTACTCTATCACAATTTATCATATAGCAATATAAAGCTTCCACTAGTTTCATCTTGTATGCTCCTAAGTTTCAATTTATTGAACATAAATAATTGAACTTACTAGGCTTAGGCGTTTAGCAACCCCCTCTATAGTTATTTTCTAAATTCCAGTTTTGTGGCCAGGGAAAGCTTAACATGTAACTTAAGGACAATTTAAAGAATGATATATACTTGGTAATTTCTTTAAATTATACGTATGTTTACAAAGATTCTAATAATTTGTCGTTGTTAGATGATGTTGTATAATCCAAATGAGCAGTAAGAGAATCTCGTTAAGAGATTTTCAAGTCTGCGTACTAACACAATACACTAATAACTCTAGCCGTGGCATATTGTACTGTGTAAGAGTTTACTTGCATGTGAAAGCAAGAAATCTAGAAACTACTAAAGTGAAGTATATACCTTACCTCCAAAAACTTCTCTAATTCAAATCCTTCTCACATCCCAATGTCAATCAATATGTTCGTTACCTTTCCCTCCTTTTCCAACTTTATGGACGGCTACTTTATGTCTTTTTTCCACCCAAAACTCCATACTTTACAGCCATATTCCTTCGTCTAATACCCCCTCTCTTCCCCTATATAAACCCCTCTTCACCATTCTTAATCTCCTCCACTCTTTCATCATTCATCTCTTGGGTGTTTCTTACGCGTTAAGAACCACCAAATATGGCTAGTAGGAGTACCACCTACGCGTATTCAAGCCAAATGTCATCCCAAAGACCGATAGCCATGGCATTAGCATTAGTTTCAGCCGTGGTGCTATCCCCATTGTACACTACAAAGAGCAACGATACACGATATGACATAAGATGGAACTCTGGCTTTGTTCTGCCTATGGTTCTTGCAGGACTTATAATCGCGATAAAAACTACCTCATCACCATCATTTTCGTCAATGACAGGAGTGCGAAGATCTATCTTGTCATCAGATCCTTCGTCGGTTTTTAGGGTTGGGGGCTCGTCGTGGGGGCTTGCTGGGGTTCTAGTCATGTTGATGCTTGTATTGTCCTGGCAAGACTCTGTCCAACATTTTCTTTGGAAATGAGAGGAAACACTACTGTACTGTGGCTAGCTGCCCAAATGCCTGCTACTATTGTGTTTTCTGTTTCAGATCAATAAATCTGTCTATTTTAGTGACTTCATAATGTAATTCTAAATTTATAATAGTTCAGTAATATACAGTTTTTTGCAGAATTATGGAAAATTGTTAAATTGATCATTGATCATGCTCATTTTTATTCTTATCAGAATTCAGAAGCCAATTATATTTCAGTGATCAGATCATCTGAAAGAGAGTTATGATTTGTAGCTAATACGGAGTTTAACTCGAAAAACAAAATTTTATCAATCATGGAATTAGAGAACAACTCTCCGCAGCTGACATGCATATGGGGGTTTCAGTAACTACTAGCCAACATAACGATTTCAAGAGAGTTATACCAATAAGAACTTCTGATTCGTTACAATAAGGTCAATACTACGCCCAGTATGGGCAGTATCAATACCCATGTATATACACTTCTATTTATATAGTATATACACACCATCTCAGTCATTAGTTAGACGTTAATATCTAACTGACCATATAATCAGATAGCAATTTCCTCTCAGCAGCTGACTAGCATACCCTGTGATGTAGTATTCAAGCCTGGAAGAGTGTCAATGTGTTATCTATGTCACCAAACAAACTGGAACAATAACCGAATCATATAGAGGAAACGAATAATAAAGACAATGCCACGCAATGTGTGGGAATATCATTTCTTTTTTCAATCTTTTCATTTCTTCAATTAATCAGATTCAGTTAGCCACAATTATATACCCACAATACAAAGAACATAAATTTTTTCTGTACAGATGATATATTTACATGAACAGATTGTGTTATTCAACCGTAGTCCTACAACTAAAGATACATCAGCATTCATCGTCAACTACTCCAGCCAACCACACTGGCACTTGTGACAGCAGAGGCAGGTTTTGATACCGATAGACCTCGATTGTACATGCGCTGAATCTCTTCCCTGTACTCAACCAGAGACTTGTCAGGAATGGCTGGAGTTAGCTCAATCACATCTCCCATCTTCAGCTTGCACGTCGGATCACTAACAGGATGATGGTTCAGCCGAGGCCTCAACTCTTCCTTCATGGGGAAACCATAAGTCAAACGGGGGCTACCATGGCCTGTCTTATCTAATAGATCCATCATGGTGGAGTTTGTGGGGAATTCACAAACAGACATCTGCAATGAATGCCAAACTCGTAAATGAACAGATCTGAGAACTAGCAGAGAAATAACGGAATTTCAAACAGTTTTGCAATGACAGTAAGGGAACTAAAGCGAATAACAGTTCCAAAAAAAAAAAAAAAAAAAAAAAAAAAAAAAAAAAAAAAAAACCCGCAAAAGAAACTAAAGAAGCATACCATCAATACAATCAAAATCCAGGTCGGTAAATATACCAGCTCTCTATTGAGGTTCAACCTCTACTGGGATTCAAGTATCCCAAAGAAACAGGACAGAGATGGAAAACACGCACATAAGTAATATGGAAAAGCTATAGTTTGCCCATGGGCCCCATGTAATGTAGCGGGAGGACAGGGAGTTTTGAGTGAACCCCCTGTCCTCCCTCTGCATTACATCAGCTTAGAACCCCCTTCTAAACCAGACTATGTCTTCCTTCAAATGGTTCAGACCACATACTAAAATAATTGCTAAGATGACACATGATATGGAAAGCTATATTCGGCTATAGGCTCAATGCAATGATGAGGGAGGACAAGGAGTGCCAATATTAGCTTAGAACCCCATTCCAAACCCCTATGAATAGCCCCTTGCAGTCTCCTTCAAATTTTCAGACCACATTCTAAATTAATCACAAACATGGGAAACACAAGTTATTGTTGTCCAAAGTAGAAAAGATACAAGGTGGAATATCAAAAATCTAACCTTTTCATTCTCTATCAAGATAACAAATACAGGTCCATCTTCATTAGACTGAGCATTGTAGGAATATGGGCACCCTTCAGCATGAGTTGGGAATTTACAGGGTGGCTTGAGGGAATCAGCATAGTTGATTGATGGTTTATCCTTGTTCATTGTCTCACACTGCCAATTGACCACCCATCTAGCCCACTCCACCATTTGAAGCACAAAAGAGGAGTGTTGAGATTCACCCTCCTTATACCTCCAGTGCGCAGCAAATCCATACTCTGCTTGTAGATGCATTTCCCTAGTCCGTATTTGAACTTCAAGTGGAACCATTCCTTCACCGACCACAACTGTATGAAGAGATTTGTATCTACAAACAACAAATAACATAAATTAAGAAATGAATTGGCAAATATAATACTACGTATTTGCCTTGTCATACAACTAACAAAGAGCTTACAGTGCTTACCCGTTGCATTTTGGACAATGAATATAGTCCTTGAACTTTCCAGGTACTTCAGACCACAACTGATGAACAACTTTAAGTGCTCTAAAACAGTCTTCCTCATTCTCAACAATCAAACGCAACCCATGAATATCATGAATCTGGTCCACAGTCAGCTTCTTCCTACACATAATTGTATATACAATTAGCCAAATAAAGCATAGATAAAGGACAAATGCCCACCATGCCAGAATAAGTAAAAGGTCTGGCAGACTACAGAGAAATCAAACAACATATAAGGATCAGAGACAGAGCATACTTTGACATTTTGCGATGAATGCTGAATAAGCTTTTGTGACGACCAGACAAGTCATGGTAAGATATATCTTCACTCTTGAGAGCATCTTCAAGTTTCCCAATCTCAGATTCAATCATTGCTTGATCAAATGACTTCATACGCTTAGAGGACAATTCATTATATTGATTTGGATATAGATGTTTGAAACACAAGTCTTCAATTTGTTCTTTCCAAGTAGAGATACCAAGTCTGTTAGCCAATGGTGCAAAAATCTCCAATGTCTCCTTTGCAAACCTCTGCTGCTTGTGAGATGGCAATGCATCGAGTGTCATCATATTATGCAATCTATCTGCCAATTTAATCAAGACTGCCCTAGCATCAGCCATAGCAAGAAACATTGTATGCAACCGATCTGCTTCAATGGTTTTATTTGCCGTATTATTTTCACGTGCAAGCTTGCTCAAATGGCTTAGTTTTGACACCTGAAATAAGCCACATTTATAAGCCACCAATAGAACTAATTGCAGCAAATCCTTATGCCTACTGCCAAGTTGGTCACATTTCACGTTTTCAAATGGCAAGTGCACGAGTGCAGACAAAAATGTCAAAGAATCCACCTTATGCAAGCTTTAAATAAAATATAACTGTCCTGCAACTACACCACGCATTAAAAAACAATACATCCTTCTCAATTATAGGACTTTCAGATGCTTAGGCATACATCACCTAAGCTACCCATGGAGATCATTGTATACAGCAACATAAAACACACTTTCTAAACACAAAAGGGATGACTACAGAGACAACTTGTACAGAGAAATGCCACTCAAATGCACTCTTCCCATCAGTTCTACCCACTCGCATAAGAGCAAAACAGAAAAAAGTTCAGACATGTCATAGCTCACAAAAACTATACTTGTATACAGCAAATACCAATACGCAATGCAGAAACAAACAGAATCATCATAGCTGATTAAAAAAAGTACAGTACTTGCATCTTTGAAGTCTTACCCCATGAACCAAATCAGCCACCCCAGATCCAAAGATGCTTAAAATATAGTCATACGTTACAAAAGAATCATCAATTGTGTCATGCAATAAACCAGCAGCAACAACAGTCGAATTCGCCCCGATGTTCGCCAAAAGCACGGCAGTTTCCAAGCAGTGATGCAAATATGGATGCCCACTTGCTCTCACCTACACAAACAAAAGCCACAACATTAATTTCATTAACAAATATGACCAACATTACTTTCTAATTTGCTATAATCATGTTAAACTTACACAAAAAGAAAAACTTGAACAATTCAAATAGATTTCATATGATCCAATACTAGATAATTAGTTTTTGAAAAATGACAATGCATTTCATATATTACTAAAAATAGAAACTTTTTACCAGCTTTCACACTAAAGTTTCTTCATCAGTTCATCCTCAAATATCAAATATAACAATCATACAAATTTACATAAAAGCATAAAAAAATCGACTGCAGATTAACATTCAGTTTTTCTCATTGAATTTGAACAGAGAAATAATACGAAATGTAACACTATTATACATCAAAAAAAAGGGGGGATGAATTACCTGCCCTCTATGAGCCTTTTCAGCCTCATAAAACGCCTTGATCACAAAATCTTCATAGAAAATTTTATTCCTGATTTGAGCACTTGCTAACAATTCCTCAACACTACCACCAAACACAAAATGATCTTCCATATTAAACGTAAGTTCCTCCACATCACGATCCAAACACGACCCCAACGAATTTCTCACAAACCCATTTAACAACCCATTCGTCGTATTATTAACCCGAAACGAACCCGAACCCGAACCCGAAAACGTCCCCGAAGCGACGCTATTACAGCTACTGGAAACTGAAACCGGACCCTGAAACACCGAAACAGGGCTCTGAAGATCTCGCTTCAACGAAGAACTCAACGACGAGCAATTCGAATACCGAAATGAGCTACTCAAATTGTTGTATTGATGATGAAGATGATGATCATCCAATCCTACCTTCTGAAAATCCTCATTTACTGAAGTAGGCGAGTGTTTCAGAAGACATGATAAACCGCCGATTATCGGCCGTTGAGAGCTTGATGATGAAGATTGCGAGCTCGTTGAAGGAGATCTACCGCTGAGATCGAAATCATAAGAAGATGAATGAGAATTGATTGAACATGGATGCGGTGTAGAACACACGCTACTCGGTGGACTCGCATACAGCGCAATCGTTGAAACCGCCATTAATGGAGCTCAAAAAACTCAATTTAAACCGAAATTTGAGCTGAAATTCAAAGATTTTTCTACTAATTTTCAGATTTTTGAGCTATATATATATAATGAAATGATTGAAATTAGGTAGATCTAAGATGACTTATCTTTTGGAATTAGGGTAAAAACAAATGAAGAAGAAGAACAATCAAAAAGTCAAATTATAACAACTAAAATGGAAATTTACAGTTTTCCGAATCGAAATTTCAGTATGAATCTAAATTTTTTAGCGGCGATTGAATTTGAAGTTGAAAATTGAAGAAAAGTCGATGTAAATTGGGGGAAATTGAAGACAAACCCTAAACCTAAATTTTAGGAGAGAGAAAAATTAGAGAGAAGAAATGGCGTATGTGTGGAGAAGAAGATTTGCTTTAAATGAGGGGGTATTTTTTATTTCATTTAACTTTTTTTTAAAAAATTATTATGAATTTATTTAAATAATATTTAAATCAACAATAATGGTTTCTACGATATTCAGATACTTTGCTTGCTTGTTTAATCTTCATCCTCTTTTATTTTGGTTGATAGCCAGGAGGACGGAGACAGTGTAAAGACCAAATTGCCCTTGGAAAATACCGTAATTCACGGTTGATTTGATAAAAATATTGATTTTTTTTATTAATAATAAAAGTATTTTTTTTTTTTACGGGAATAATAAAAGTATTACTCGTATTGTATTTGCAATGATTAGATTAAGAATTGATTAGAGTCCAATTAGACAAATTAATAGATAAATTATATGTCTATCTCTTCAAACATTTTTTTTTCTACATTAGTTTTATATTGGAGTGGATAAGGATAAGTTAACTCGCTATAATAATGGAGGAGGTAGTGGATAAGTTAAGCCGAAGTAGTAGTTAATGCTATTATTTTATTAATTGCATTGAAGAGACCAAGAGATTGATTCTCATCACCCATTCTTGTGACTCTCTAAACACTAAAAAAAAATATTAATTGTATTCGCATGAAATTATTTATATTGCAAATAATTTGGAAGATATTCTTAAATTAAATAGTTGCAAAAAAAAAAAAAAAAATTAAGAAAATGAGAGAGTACAAGATATATGTTTGTGACATGATTAATAAATTTTGTCATAAAACCTTTCATAATATATAAGTGCTACTCAAAATAAAACAACAATAAGGATAAGCATAAGATCACACCTATGATTTCACATTTATTTGATCTCTAATAGTGCATAGACATTTATATCTCTAAAAATGTTTTTTTTTTTTTTTAATATTTGCCCCCATTTGATTTCGATCAAAAGCTTTAAATTTGTCTCTTGAATTCCCTAAATTGATTTAAAAAGTTATGTTCATTTTCATATTTAAAGCTATCTTTTACTCTCTCCACTTTCTTTTGTTTTAATTTTCCTATTTAGAATTTATGAGACTTTTATATATCTAGATCAAACTCGATTATTTTTTTTACCGTTCAGTCACTAAATCAAATTAAAGTAGTACAGACTAAAGTTTGAACATTGCACAACAACACAACGTCCAAGATAATTATCGTCTATATACAAATAGTTTTAATAAAATATCACACAAACCAGCGTAGGGCATTAATGCCATTCGGTAATAATTGTTCTCAAAAGACTAGCCATATCGCACACATCGCGCACGTTGAAATCCCTAATTATCTTCAAATAAACAACTCATACGAACTTGCAATTGTACAAAGTACATTTATTAACATTCTTACATATATATGTATGGCATTTTGTTGTACCAGTGTATATATATATACTACCTCCGCCCACGAATATCTGCAACATTTGCCAAATTTGGATGCTTGGAGTATCTGCAACAAATTTTTTTCTTTCCTCTTTTGGTAATATTTAACTATTAATTACCCACTATTACTCACTTTTTGGTTAGTGGTCCCCTCCACCACCTATTACCCACTACCTAAAACCCACTACAAATATTTGTGTTCACACTACAAATACCAAATATACCCTTATTTTTCAACACTTAAATGTTTAGTTTATATAATATCATCATATGGGTAATTTTGTATTTTTACTTTTCTCTCTCATTAATTAAACCCACCCAACTACACTTAATATTCCCTAAAAGTTTTACCTAGGAGTCCACCCATTTGTAATTTGTTGCAGATATTCGTGGGCGGAGGTAGTATATACTACCTTTAAAAGCATGATATTCGTGGGCGGAGTATATATATATATCTTACTTCTACTACCTTTAAAAAAAGCATGATTATTTTGATGTTAGCTAATTGGGGGAAAAAATAAAATTAAGTAGCAAATAACAGTTTTTAAAATTTTATTTTTTGTTATTTACAACCTAATAAAAATTTTGTATTTTACCAAGACTTGACAACATTTGTCTATCAATCTATAAAATGGTGGCAAAAATCCAAATATCTTATCAAAATTAAAAAAAAAAAATCCAAATTTTTTAACCCTGTAAAATAAAATAGAAATTATTTAAGGTAGTTAAAATTAAAAACACAATTGTTAAAGGTGATAAAAGAAAAGAAAAAAAATATATACGTCTTCTATTTCTTTATAGTTGCAACACTTCTCTTTTCACGCTTGCCGATGTATGAGTTAATATTTTTAATTACCAATATGTAAAAATTATAAACATTTAATATTAAAATAGTATAAATCGATACGAATCTAACAAGATCTCACATGACTATATTTTTGTGTAATACCCCTCATGATTGCTTTAAAAGGATTTGATATACTACTCATATCAACAAGATGCATCTTCCTTTTAGGGAGCTCTGCTAAGTTACTTCTCAGTTAAGCGTTTAGGAGGTCACCCATCTCAATATTACTCCCAGCCAAGCACGCTTAACCGAGAAGTAACTTAGCATATGAGCTCCCTAAAAGGAAGATGCATCATAGTATATCAAATCCTTTTAAAGCAATTATGAGGGGTATTACATTTCGCATAGCTATAAATCATCAAAACTAGTCAAAGTGGAACACATGAATAGTATAAAAGTCAAACTATAGCGACTACAAAAAAACGGAAGAAGTATACTTTAAAAAAATATTTATTCCATGTCAAATTTTACTTAGGGCCTATTCCAAATTTCTGAAAACAACTGAACTGATTGGGGCTAAACTGAACTGAGCTGAAATAAATTGTTTATGAGAGAATTAGGAATTGATCTAAACTGAACTGAACTGATTAGAGCTGAACTGAAGTGAATTGAAATTAAGCTGAGCAGAACAAACCCTTACTAGATTAAAAGAGAGAAACAATGAGTATGACCAAATTTAATTAATTCTGTTGTATGAATTTGTTATAAAATTTTCATTTTATACTGGTACAATGTATATTTATGATATTAAAAAGATGGAGTTCTAGAAAATTTTCAAAATTGTGAAGCTACTCGATTTATTTGGAGATGCTTGATTGCTTGGCAATCACATTTTTTTTTATAATAATAGCTTTATTGACATTGTGAAGAGAACGAAGAGAACGACGAGACATTGTGAAGACGGTCTCATACAAATTTTTGATAAATATAATTAGTTTTACAAACTAGTCTACTTTACTCAGCTTTCCGGAAAAAAAAAACTTGTCTACTATTAGTATGAGTGTATGACCAATTCCACTAATAATTTCGTTTTTCTTGCATGTTTTCTTTATAAATTGCATTTTTTTTATTATTCCGTATGAATGAAGTTATTTAAGGCTGAATTGTTACAAAAAGTAATACTAGTATCAAATTGTAAGTTAGGCCATAGTGATGTTTATTAACTTTTCTAGAAGTTGCCATATGACTCATATCTTAAGAATATTTTCTTTTGAAAAGCTAAGAGTATAAGTGTATGTTAGTTGTTGTTTAAAAAAATTACATGTCGTTAAGTAAAACAAAAATAAGCTTACTCATAATTAGAAATACTGCAAAAATTGATATTGGTAGATTTAACAAACCATTACCAAAAATTTAAATTTAAAGTCAAATTGTTTGATTCGTATCACTATTTTTTTTTTTTTTTTTTTTTGACAACGGTTTAAAAAAATATAAAAGGATTACAAACTACGAACCTTATTAGCTCCTCTATTACAAAGAGAATACATTAAATTAAAGTACTTCCACATTTGATCTTGCTGGTTGAATAATCCGCCATTTTCCTTTGAGCATGCGACGAGGAACACACCATTCTATTTATGTATTGCACTTTCCTTTGAAATTGGAGAATGCATTGGACGACGAACAAACAATTTATCGCAAACATATTAACCAGCCGAAAAGGACACCAAGTACCTATAACATTCAGTTTGTGTTGTGTCACTACTTTAATAAACACTAATCATTCATAATAATTTCACTTTTTCACATTACTTATCACTTGTATATCGTATAAGAACACTAATTCTAGCTAGTTCTTGTGTATCAACAAAGTTAAAATCTACATCATACTTCGTATAATGATTAATATATACTAGTACAAATTAAATCTACGAGACTTTTAAAAATTGCACCACAGATGTATACAAAAGCAGGTACATATCTTGACGTATAACTAAACATGTTATGGAAATCAAAGCAAGAGAGTACTTGGTACTCTTTTATAAGGAAGATGCATGGTAGATTGGTAGTCCATAGTCCAGTTGCCAAATTGGCGGCAAACAAGTTGTAAGGGCATATGCATATGGGACCAACCAAATTTGTCTAAGTTAATGACTTGTGACAAAAGAAGATTCTCCTAATTGCGAGGGAAACAAAGAAGAATCCCTTCAAAGATAAAAGTATCCAACCAAAATATATACCACTACTATTGGGGTTTGTTGTCGATTTAGCTGAGTTTTTAAGAAAATTCCAGGATTTTTCATGCTAATTGCTGCCGTGCTGGCTAATGCGTGGCTACTAGCTAGCATAAGTGTCGCTTTTACTAGAGTATGTGATCTTCTTTTGGCTCTTTTATTAATTATCATGCCCAAATTTATTGGCTAGCCAGTGAGGGTTGAGCAATTGGTCAAATTATATTACGAATGTTCTACTAATTACCGTTATATTATATATTACACTTTGTTTAACTAATTAATTATATGTAAATTTTGTCAAAAGAAGTGCTTGTTATTTCATATATGTATGGAGTATTATACTTTAACTTTTAATATTCTCAAACTACTAACTTGACCATTAGACGTAAAGTTAAAATTGAACATTAGTTTGGCTGTTTGACAAAAAGATGAAGATGATGGTCAACTACTCCGTATCTGTTGACATGTGGAACACATTTAAATAGCAAGTTCTTTTCACCTGATTTTTGTTTAATTTAAATTATTTTTAATGAAATTAAATTAATATAGTAATTAGCTTACTTTTGTTAAAATGAAATTATTAATTTGTTATACTTCCTCCGTTATTTAATTATTGCACCACTTGCTTTTTAAAGAAGTTTCACAAATATTGAACCATATTTATTTTATAAAACAAAATAT